CTCACAGGAACATTTTGATGAAGGACCTCTTGGGGACACTCAATACCCTAACAAATGGCCTCGTAAGGATGCATTCTAATCATTTCAATCTTTCATGGAAGAAGTGTACAAAACATGTCAAGAAACCTGCCTCTAAATCATGGCATCAATGGAAGATGGGCTCGATCTCCAGCCGGGCACATTAGTCGAACGATGCGAAAAAGCAGCGAGCGAGATCCGTCTAAACCGCTACCCTCCAACCTCTATCTATACAGTATATAACTGCTCGAATCAGATGGCTAGCTATACACTTACTGGAGGCGGGAAAGAAAAGGAAAGGATAAAGAAACTCGCAGATGGCAAAGTCAAGCGAGCCTGGCCCCATAATTACCGACTTTGGGATTATCACCTTACTATTCCAAGACGGAGTTGGCGGTCTCGAACTCGAAAACCGAACCAAACTCGGTACATTTGTCCCCGTAACGCCTACTGCGCCAGGCCACAAGAAGGAGATAGTTATCAACATAAGCAATACGTTTCAGCGCTAGACTAATGATGTAATTCCTGCTGGGCTTCATCAGGTCACTGCCCTTCCGGCGTGGAAAGCTTCCGCAGAGGGATTTCTTCCTGAGAGACATTCCTGTGTGTTCTTTTTTAAAGCTAGCAGAGATATATCTGTGAGCCCGCTTCCAGATTTTTTCACGGCTTCTGATCCTGCACCATAAGATGAGGTTACTGCGCTTGAGTATCAGCAACGAATGACTAAATAGCTCTATTAGTTGAGAGTCTCAGATTATCATGATCGCATATTTGGGTATGGTTGTATGTTTGATGGACTAGGAGCATTTATGGCGCCCTTGGGTAGAGCTTGAGTAGACATATATTCTTTGGAGAATTCATATATATACTTCATGGCTTTTCGGTCCATGTACGAGAGGTGGAATTATGAGCAAAAGAATATTCTAAAAATCTATTTCCCGTGTTCCACAGGTAGAACATGTATATAAGATCAGAATATTCACTTCTCGTTTCCAAAAGTTCTAAGTTTTGCAAGCTTTTCAATTATAAATGTTATATTTGATATCATATATAGATTCAATAATCGATATTCGATATCAAGATGTGCACAAAATAAAAGCATCTGAATGCTAGCCTGGGTGGGGAACGAAAATGAATGAACATAGAGAAGCATATCTATTATTCTTCTGAGACTCTAAGCTTCAATATTCCACTACCCTTGCGCACACAATGATATATATATATATATAGCATAATAACAACACGAATGACTTGAATTGCACTCTAATTCAATATTATTTCCGACATTAGTGTTCTAAAGTAACTCACCCCCTTTAACTAGTTCGGCTAGTCTCTCTGGCCTTCCCACTCCTTCATCTACTACCACTCTACTGTAATTCCCTACTTTAACTAATTCAGCAAATTTCTCTAGTTTCTTTCCCTTTTCTTATTTACTTTTGATTTATAAATCCTGAATCGCTTTAGTTTATTTCGTAATAATATTTACTCGTACTCGTATATAAAATACTGATGTCATTTTTGGGGTAAATAATTGTCGACCACGAAGGATCTATTTTATATCCTACAGAAATATATTGAATGAATGAGAATAATAAACAATATTCTATCCCATATTGTAAGGCCTGCCTGCCACCACAGAGCAATACACCAGTCATAAATCTCAAGCAATAATATAACGAACGCATTTCACAGTGGGAGTTTCGTCACCAGACGGCGATACTGAGTAGTATCCAACGGATACTGTGCGAGGAAAACTGACGATAGATGGGTAACCTATCACAATAAGAGTTCCAATATAGCAATCTAGATATACACCAATCCAGATATACAATAATGCAAACATACGACACACCCGTTTTCAAATCCTATGCACAAAACATCATTCACCCAAGATATACAACAAAAAATTTCAGACGACCAGAACTCTACTTGATTATCATCTCTTATCATCTCTGGTATAGTACCACTGAGTAGAATCCGTAAGATACACCTACCAAAAAAAACTACAGCAAAGAAGGGCTTGTGAAAGTGTGTAAAAGAAAGTGTGAAAGTAAGGAAGTACAAACCACCCCCCCTAGTCCTAATATGGAACTTCCACCCCCTTCCCCACAGGATAGCGGTATGCAACAAAAGTGTGAAATGGCGGGGCTTCTGCTTGCTAGTAGGAAGGTACCTTCTAGAATGCCGCTAGTCACGCTACAACTAGTACCCCCCACGAGGCTAAAGTTCCGTAACGGAATCTAATATCTTTAGTCTCATCCCTAGTACCTCCTCTTGTGCGGTATATACCAACCATCAAAAGAATTCTGTGTCTATTGACTCTTGACTCGCATATATACTCGAGTACAACAAACAAACAAACAAATAACCGAAAAAAGTCTGGGGATGAGATTCGCTTCTGATGTACTCGAGTATACATCTACACATTCTTTATTTATATACATATACTCGTACATTACAACATAAATAAATACTCATGAACACTACCACTACCACTACCACCGTCATTGCCATATGACCTCCCCCTAAAAACTAAACTATTTGTCTTATTTTCCATTTCGCTACCTACTGAATAAAAACCTACCGGTATTCCAAGAAATAGTTTACCATATAAGCTTCATCACAAAACCTTTATCGCTGAATGGTATTCCTGCATCATATCTTTATACCGACATCTTCATATATACAAACATCTTGATACAAACATCATAATCTAGCAACGACAATGATAACAACGACACACAAGACGAAGATCCATCCATTCAGAGATCAATGGATATATATCCAATAATAGAGATTAAATACCAGATCCAGATCCAGATACTATACAATATGAAAAGTCCAAGTCCAAGTCCAAGTCCAAGTCTAAGTACATTTGTTCATTGTATCAAATATATATGATTATAATTGTGAATATTTTTTTCAAAGACAGATCCAAAATCATATTACAAAGAATATCTGAAGAGATCAAACTTGGACTGCACTCTCTTTTCGTCTAGGTAGGTTGATCTTAACATGGACAAAAGATATCACGGCCAAAAATCACTCATCATAATCATAATCATATAGTGATCATAGAAGAATTCCACACACTGGCAGGAGATTTCCACCACAGCACAAATATTCAGATATAGATACAACCAAAGCAAATTCTAGTACTCAATACATACATACTTACTAATTACTTACTAAACACTAAACCTAGAAAATTAGAAATCAGACTTCAAACATCTCTTGAGATATATGAGTTGACATGACATGAGATTCAAATAAAAATGTAATACTCAAGTAATAATACCGTAATATAAATTATATTATATACTTCAAAAGAGACAAAGTCGACAAAGTCGATATACAATAATCAAATTCAGAAATCCAAATAATCATACACCGGTACCCAGATAGATATCCAGAGATCTAGATAATCAGATAATCAGATAATCAACATATATGTATTCCCAACTCTATTTACTACCAACCCTAACCCCATATATTAGACTATTACCACCATCAGATCAGAGTATTGAAGTATTGAAGTATTGGTATGCCTCATATTCAAATTCATATTCAAATTCAAATTCAAGTTGACTTCAACCGCTTCTTTCACTATCAAACTCCATACCACACCACATCACACCACATCACATCACACCGTACTATGCCATAACATTCCATTCAACACAGCACAGCAATAGAAATCTACCTACTATCCAGTCTATGCCATCAAAAGCGTTCCACCCTGAAACTTGACATTACATTACATTCAGATAGATATACAATAAATATAAACCCTAATCTAATCTAATCTAATCTAATCATTTAGATCTATATCCCAATGCTCATCCTACAATATTTCTCAACCAAATCCTACTTTTACTCCTACTCCTACTCCTACTCCTAATCCAGACCGGCTTTTCACTTAACTTAAAACATGCGACGATTGCAATAATTGCATCCACTGCTAGCTAGGGAGGGGATCTGGCGAATAGCGGCTGGCGGCTAGTTGGAACGGTTCGCTATGGAACTGTTTACTATGAGACGAACCACCATGGAACGAATCACCATGAAACGATCCGCCACGACACGATAAACCACAAACGAATCGTCACGAGAAACCACCACAAACGAATCGCCACGATAAACCACCACGACGCAGCACTACGATACCATCCCATCCCATCCCATCCCAATACAATAAAACCTCCATTCCATTCCATTCCATTCCGCCGCGGGGCGGAAATCAAGATGTGCAACCAAACCAAATAAAACCAAACCAGACTAAACCAACCAAACCAGACCAGACCAAACCAGACCAAACTAGACTAAACCAAACCAAACTGATTCTCATCTCACTAATAACAAATCCACTGCCTCCACCTCCAACCACCCGTTCCCCGCCGTGTGGTGGAGTGGGAAGTGAGGAGTGGGGAGTGAGAAGTGAGGAGTGCAATGCCATCCAATCCAAGGTAGGTTTAGTCCGTCCTGCCCTGCCATGGTATGGTATGGTATGGTATGGCCACAGGAATATCTGTAGATATGCGACATAATATTCAATACAGCCAGATAGTTCCGTCATGGTGCCAAGTAGATATGCAACCCAAACTAAATTTAGCCTTTGTCCACCTCTGTTCACGACAACACAACCTCAGATATGCAACAAAAGAATCAACCCAGATTTGATTGGCTTGATCTGGGATCAGAGGTGTATGTTCGTTTGACCCTGATCTTGATGAGATACATCCATTTTATTAGCCATAAAAGGTAGTTGTATATGGATACATATTTGTAAATCGGTTTGATCTGGCTATTGCTATTCATAGCTCGGGGGAACTCTGTTCTAGCGTGTTTCGACAATGCAGCCTTCATTTGAGGCTAGAAGCCGCGAATTGAAAGGTCACCGGGCCCCCTTCACTGGCATAAGTCGATTTAGATTGAGTGGAGTGGTGAAAACCGGTTGTTCCCAAGAAGATCGTACTCGCCTCTCAACCCATCGATTCCGACCTTTTCGCCTTGGACCTCATCCTCTGAGTATCCTTAGCTTGTTTCCTCGCCTGATTAACACTCAACCTAACCTCCTCTACTACCTTCTTCTCTAATCCATCCTTTTCCACCTCATCCAATAGGAACTTCCCCAAATGTCCTTGTCTCCACCTTTGAATCACCCACAGTGCCGCTGCCTCCATATCCGGCACCCCTCCCTTCCCTAATCGTCCCGTCTTCTTACAAACCGCCTCCAGAAACTCCACAACATCATTCGTCTCCCCACAATAATCTTTATACACCCCCCCTCCCACCTTCAAATTAATATGAAATAGTAGATAATCCGCCAATGTCGTGGGTGCTATGATGGTATCCTTGACACTTCCCACCAATGCCAATTTTAACATACTATCCGTATCCGGTACGAATGGTATGAATACACCAGGCGTATCAACCAAGTACACACCCTCTATCCCGGTTTCCGGATCCGGATCTACGATCTTGACCCCCGAAGCGATTTTCCTCGTAACACCCGGTTGGGCGCCTGTAAATGCTGCTTTGCCTCTCTTTACACCAGCCATTCGTAGTGCATTTATTAAAGAAGACTTCCCAACGTTAGGCATACCAACGATGAGGATTCGAGAGCCGGTTAGGGATTGATGGTTGATGCCATGTTCTCTGCAGAGGGAAAGGATACTTTGGACGTCGGGTCTAGATTTGTGATTTGAGAAGAGGGTAGGTGAGGGTTTATGCCAATCTCTTATTATTGATTCTCTCTATCACAAAATGAATGAGTATATGGTAACCTAGAATTGAATACATGGAATGAGTTACATACCTTTTTATCTACAGCCAAACCTTGATTCCCCAAATCGCGTTTTGTATAAACAATAACTCTTTCCCCCCCCGCAAGTGATTGTTCAAATAATGGATTTCGAGATGTAAGAGGGACGCGATAATCTCGACATTCGATTATGAGGTCGATCATTGAGAGCATGGTCTTCATTCGAGAGAGACCTGATGCATGATGACCTAGATAATAGGAGCGAGGGAGAGAAAGTTGTTGAGGGAATGTGGTGCGAGGTATGAATTGTGCCATTTTGATGGCAGGTTAACATTGAATGTTACCGAGGGAGCATAGCAATTGGTTTTGGAAGATTGAGATTGTTGGTATACGGTATATAATTTGATATCGTGAATCTTCGAAATATTGAAGTTTAGAAGAAGGCTGAGGGGTTGAAATTTTGGATCTGTAAGGCTGAGAAGGCTGGCCAATGAAAGGTCAAAACTGACAAGCGCTAATGCACGGCACCTAATGAACCCCCTGTTCTTGGATGACGGAAATCGAATATTTTCAATTAGGACAAGGCGAAGACATTTAAAGATCACCGGGAGCACAATTTCACCTGGACGGGAGTAACATCAAACTGGCAATTAAATTTCGAGATAAACTTCACACAAAGTAAACATGAAGTAAACATCTTAGTTCACACGTCTTTCCTTTCAGTAATCAATCCAACTTTTGAAACCCTCACTATCATCCATGGGAACTCTCAAGGAAGAGATATTCATGATGACTCTCTGAGTCTCTGGAGTCATATCATTTAGCGATGAAATGACCAACATGTTAGTTATATTTGAGTACCGGTATTGAAGCATGTAATAAATCAATTGCTTCTTAACCATATCAATCGTTTCCTCGAGACCATACACGATCTATGATACCAGTAGGTACTCACCCTGCTATGGACCTTTGATCAATAGCAATTCTGACGTTAATTCAATGAGTAAGTACTATCCTCCTCACCATACCCAATCCTACCATCAATCTTTGAAAACACCGAACCTTTTTTTGCAAAATGAAGTACTGTCGATGGCTTTCTTCATCTGTTTCCATTGTATACGCCCAGTTGTCCTGCTGCACTATTGATTGCTCTTTTTGTTGATTTACTCGTATAGAAAACTTCCCATTTGAGTAGAAAGCACTTGGCTTTAATTTTTGCAATACAGTACATACGTCGATTACAGTTGATATCGACAATGTAGACTGGAGGAGTGTCCCAAGTTCTCCAACATGGGAAAGAACAATTCATGACTCTACTCTCATCCTTTCAGAAACGAGAATCATGATACTCATCCTAATGTACTCGAGTACCGGTATCTATTATTATTGCATCTTTGCTTTGATTTTAGACTTCTTGCCTCACATTATTCATCTTGGCGTTATGGATGGTCTTCTCTCCTAGGTATTACCATGGCACGCACATTCCCCTCCGGAGCCGATCCGTTAATTCCCGCGCCACGTGAAAATGAAACTATTGGTATTAAACCGAGCAAGAGAAAATAAAGTTCACAATTGTTCTTTCTCTAGTCAATTTCTGAGACAACTTCAACCACATTTATCCTTCACCCGGCTCACCGAACGCTATTGAAGTAACATGTAAGTGAATTGAATCTTGCTTACACTTTCGACTGAATTCTAGACCCGCTCAAGGACTTGGATATTTGTGTTACTTCGGAACAACTTGGATGAGCATTTAATTGGGGGCTCGGATGTAAACTAATTGGTCTCGGAATATAATTGTGGCGACATCGGTAACCTTATGAGATTCAAATTTCATAAGTACAATAGAACCAAAAATACAATAAGTGGGATGCTATTATTATTACAGTACTGTACCTATAACAAAGGAGCTGCGGAAGAGAGATATGAGATATCAACATGTTGGAATTGGAATTGGAATTAGAGGAATTGTTGATGGCCCCGAGTATGAACCAATTGTCTTGCTTGCCTTGTTTGTGATACAGTATGTATTGAGTGTTACTATCTTGTCTGTCTGTACTGTACTTTTTATTCCAAAAGTACTTTATAAGAAATCATCAATTGCTCTTTCAATAGATATAAAATCACTTTATAATTGCTTCAATCTTGATCAACAAAATCATCTCAAAACTTCACTCCAAGCATTCTTCAATCTTCTTTCCATAACCCTACCTATCTATAACCTTGTGCATGTTTCTTTCTGGCTTAGTCATCCCGCCTACATATTTAACTTATAGCCAACTAAAGATACGCCCCATTTATTTTAACCCCACCATATGACGCCGGAGGGGTGAAAGTAGAAAGCGAATAATCCATCTCAACAACATAAAAACTCTTTCATACCCATTCCCTCAGTTCTTTATTTTATCATACATATCACTTTCATATCACTCACTCTTATTTACAACAACTTCAAAAGATACCCTTCACACAATCCAATTTATAATCATGTCTACTTCTTTAGATCAACTCAAAGCCACTGGCACTGTAAGTAAACAATCTGTTTTCTTTTGTTGATAGTTAAGTCGATGGGACACTACTCGGGTCCGAGCCGGATCAATGAGGGATGAGAGATGAGAGAATGATAGTGAAAGTAGATGGAATTTGAGGATATACTTTTGGAATACTGTGTGCTAATCATTACTTTGTCATAATAGACTGTTGTCTCTGACTCTGGTAAGTTTTAATTCATCCTATTAATCATTGCCACTTCTTCAAACCTTTACTAACTCGTATTTCTCTCTAGGTGACTTTGCCTGTACGTTACAACCTCTATCACTTCTCGCCATGATTACCACGATCAATAACTAATTTATACAATTAGCCATTGCCAAATATAAGCCACAAGATGCTACCACCAACCCATCTTTGATTCTCGCTGCCTCCAAAAAGGCTGAATATGCCAAACTCATCGATACCGCAGTCGCATACGGAAAGAATGAGGAGGGTGACCTCGAAAAGAAGACTGATGCCACTCTTGATCGTCTTCTCGTCGAGTTCGGTAAAGAGATTTTGAAGGTCGTTCCAGGAAAGGTTTCAACTGAGGTTGATGCTCGTTTCTCTTTCGATACTAAGGCTACCATTACCAAGGCTCTCCGCATTATCGAAGTATGTTGCATAATTCTTTTTGTTGTCCCCAGATCACTTTTTGGGTTGTGACTTTCATCACAATTACCATGAAATTGATACTAACACGTGTCCTATCTAGCTTTACAAAGACCAAGGAATTGACAAGTCCCGCATTTTGATTAAGATCGCCTCGACCTGGGAAGGTATCCAAGCCGCCCGTATCCTCCAACGCGATCACGGAATCAACTGCAACCTTACTCTCCTCTTTTCCAAATCTCAAGCCGTTGCTTGTGCCGAAGCTGGTGCTTTCCTCATCTCTCCTTTCGTCGGCCGTATTCTCGATTGGTACAAGGCTTCGACCGGAAAGACCTACTCCGCTCAAGAGGATCCAGGAGTTGAATCCGTCAAGGCTATCTTCGATTACTACAAGAAATTTGGATACAAGACCATTGTTATGGGAGCTTCATTCCGTAGCGTTGGTGAAATCACCGAACTTGCCGGATGTGATTACCTCACCATCTCACCAAACTTGTTGGAGGACTTGATGAACTCCACCTACGCCGTTCCTCAAAAGTTGGTCGCCGAGACCGCCAGCAGTTTGGATATTGAGAGATTAACCTACATTGATGACGAAGCCGAGTTCCGATTCGCATTCAATGAGGATGCTATGGCGGTTGAGAAGTTGAGAGAAGGTATTAGCAAGTTTGCTGCTGACGCAGTTACCTTGAAGGATATCTTGAAGGCTAAGTTGCAATAAATTGCTTTTTGAGTTTTGGGAACGGCGGTTGATATCATAGTTGTTGGTTTTCATGGAGGTCAAAATTGAGATCAGTTAAGATACAATTTGTAGTTACGTGTGGCGTGGCCGTCAATGAATTAAATAAATGAAATGAAATGAATTGAATGATAGATGGTTGACTCGTTTCTTCTAATGATTTGATATGATGTGAGATAATATGAATATACTCGAGTAAGTCCTTACATATTATATATATACCGTTACGTTATCATCATCATCTTCTTCTTCTCCTCTACCAATCTACCTCTCTACCTCTCTAACCTATATTTATCTCTTATACTCGAGTAGTAGTAAGTATCTCTAGTATCTCTAGTATTTCAAATATCCATTCCGTTCCATTCCCTTCCGTTCCGTAATATCAAAGATGTCTTCTTCCATTTCCATTTCCATTTCCGTTTCTATTTCTATTTCCTCCAAAATCATCTCTCTTTCTCTCCCTCTTCCTCTTCGCCCCCCCCCCTCCCTCTCTCTCCCTCTCTCTCT